GTGGGTCCGGCTCCAGGAGTGAGGCCTGGCTGACGGGCAGGTGGGAACAGGCCTTTGCTCTTGCTCACTTCATCATTCACCTGCGAAAGCAGCCGTGTTAGGCTGTGGGGGGCACGGGGGCCTAAGGGCGCATACACCATTTCAGTAGGAAGGGTGTCCCCGTAACAGACCCAGAGCTTCCTCCCCCCCTTCATTCTTTCTGGCCAGAGGCAGACGCCTGGGGCAGGACAGCAACCGGCCACCGGGTCCCGGGCCCCTGGGGCAAGACCTCAGAGGGCCACAGTTGCGTCCCTGTGGGGCTCGCTTCTGCTTGGCGGCTCCGTGGAGGGGAGAAAAAGTAGCTCACCCTTCCCCATCCGATCTCTCTCCACCTCCTAAAACCCAGTGAGGACAGTCAATGTCAACAGGGATTGTTCGAGGGGACATCTGTCTCTTGTCCTGTGTCATTTGGAAGCTTGCCTTTTAAGATGTAGTCCCCAATCTATACGCATTGATCAAACCCAAGTAAAATATTAAGTGACGAGGCTCCGTCTATTGCAGAGGGGCTCTTAAAATTTCCGCCGAATCTTTTTTTCCTAAAGGTGTGACTTAAAATAGGGTAAATTCAAGCATAATTGTAGTTCTGAGTGTCCCTGGTCCCTCATTTATTGCCGTGATTTCCACGGAGTGTCAGATAATTAAGGGATTTCCAAGTCTCAGCAAAGAGCGGGCCACCACTCAAGGTCCTGCGGGGGCACAGGCTTAGGGGAGCCTTGAGGAGGGACCCGGATCAAAACCACCCCCCTCCCCGCAGAGGAGAGAAGAGGCCACCGGCCACCGCGGCACAGGGCCTGCTGCCCGAGCTCAGGGCATTGAAATAAATTCTCCAGCCTGTGCTGGAGGCAGACGCAAGGGAGCCTCGTGGAAAGTCCTGAACTGATTAGCGACCGGTGAAAGGTTGTGATGTATTTTTAAAAAGGAGAAAAATAAAGCTGATCTCATCGCAGGGTGTCTGGCGTCCGAAGGGACAGGCAGCCCTGCATATTTTTGGACGGTAAACATCCCGCAAGATGTGCTTGTGCGCGTGTCCGATGTGCGGCCTGATGTGGGCAGGGAGGGAGCTCCGGAGTCAAGCTCGGGCCCCTGCGGGGGCAGAGGGTCCACTCCCCTCAGTTAGGCCCTGGAGTTAAGGCTCCTACTTGGAATTTCTACAGTCAAGGGCGACTTTTAATGTGAGGATGGGAGACGCTGACGGGTCATCAGGTCCCAACGTTGGACGTCGGCTCCCTTTCCGGTTGTCCCCGGGACGGGCACCTGGAGCCCGGTAGGCAGGGCAGGGCTCCCGCGGGTGTGGAAGGGCTTAGGGAGGGCGGCCGGGTCGGGAGGGCTGCCCAGGGGCCCACCTGGAAGCCGTGTTTGCATTAAACCAGCCTGGTGTTTACAGTCCTAATGTTTTAGTTAAAAACAGCTTCGCTGTGAGACATCCAAGCCCTGCTTCCATTGTTTGCGGTATTATTTCCCCGGTGAGGGTGGGACTGTCGGTGCTGATGGAGCCCCAGGGCAGGGCTGCACCCCCATTACACTGACAGAGCCCCGCTGTGGCCTGTCTCTCAGACACCCACCTCTGTGAGCCCTGCCTCTGTCCCCACTGCATCACAGCACGTCACGCCTTAGAGAGTCACGGGGACCGAGGGCAGAAACCCTGTATCCATGAGCAGTTCCCCGGAGCGCGTCTTCCCAGCAAACAGAGCACGAGTTTCAGACACATTCCGCCCCCCCCAAAATCTCCCCTGGGGGCAAATCTCCCCGAGCAGTATTCAGAATAAACGAAGGGTGCGTCAGGTATTAATTTTTAAAAGTGGATTTGCCACCAGCCTCTTTATTTGAACAGTAACGTGACCGCCCGGCACACCAGCCGCGCTCTGGGCTTGGCCTTCCCTCGTTCTGTGTCGTGGGAAGCGAGGTGGTTCATTCCCACGCAGCTCATCACGTCTCACGAAGACGATCCCGTGGGAAGCACAGCGCAGGGGACGCGGTGGGCGGCCGGCCGTTCACTCTGGGCTGCGGCCCTGGGGGGGGGATGCCGAGGGAGGGGGCCAGGGCTTCTCACAGCCTCCACCACCACCAGCTTTACTCAAGACTATGAAGCCGCCCTGCTGTGGGTGCAAATATTTGTTTTCCAGTGGGGCCTAGACACGTGTTGGTTTTATAAAGGGAAGAGCGGACGCATAGCTATGTGCATTTATAGGTAAAATTATTACAGCCGAGTCGGCATCAAATTTTGTAAAATATATCTCCTTCCACAGCCTCATCTCTAGGACACTTAAAACAGAAAACATTCAAAGATTAAATTGTCCATGAATCTAGTGCTCAGAGAAAATCACTGAACACGCTGGATCGACTGGATCATTGAAGTTCAGGTCGTCGGAGAAGTTAAGAATCTTGACAAAGACCCGCCGTCCGCAGTGCTGCGCCCGGGCCTGCGTTGCGGGAGGAGGTGGGAATTTCCCGCGGTTGTGCAGCTCCGACCTCCCGTCAGCCTCCACACATTCTGGCTCCAACTGCTCCCGAAAGTTCATAGCATTTTGTTTGTTAGTATCAAGGGAAAGTTATAATTTTAGAAATTAAAATAGAAGAACAGGGAACTACGTAGGGTTATGGCAGCTGGGCTCGGGATCAGTAGGTTAAGCATCGTTTGAAATATAATTATATTATGTGTGTTTGCATACGAATATATATACAACGTGTTAAATCTATCATCTATTTATCATCATATAATCTGAATAATGCACTGAGGCTAGCTCACACTGGTTCACAGGAGCTGCCGGAGAAATTTCCAGGAATTTTGCAAGCCGGTTAGGGTTATGCTGGGAGCTTGAAAATGGCCATGGGGAGACTGTTCAGAACATGGAAATTGGACAGTTGTGCAAATCAGGGTTTTTCCCCTTTGGAGAGAGAACTGTTAAATAGTTTATCACTATAACACTGTAGGCTTGGTCAGGAAAGGGACTTCATACATACTTCAGTTCACAGGGTAAACAATAATTTAAAAAAACACCAAAGTTCAAAAAAGAAAGTATTTTCCAATTTAATTTAGCCGATAAGTTAATAAATAGGCTTAAGTTTCACCTCCCTTTCTTACTAAACACCTTACAGTAAAGTGATAACGTTTAGCATATTTCTTAGTCATTGCCTATTTTAGAATGTTTGTACAAAGATAATTTGGGAGATCTGCTGCCTTATTTTTAGTCGCAGACCTGGACTCTCAAGGTAAATGTTAACGAGAATGAAAACTCTGTGCCGGGTGGATGAACCCGACTTTTCTCTTTGGTGTAGCTTTTCTGTGCTTATTTTTTGTAAACTCTGTCATTTGGTGTTACCGAGGTATTCTGTATTACATTTGTGTGTGTGCATGTATATTTATATACACAAATGTGAACACACAGACACACACATAAACCTCAACAAATTATCATATTAGGGAAATGGGGTATCAGAGTAATTAATTATTCTACTTAAAAACCAGAAATGACATGGGTTAAAAATTGTGCCAGGCTTATAAGTAGCTATGTGATCTGGCCCAACAGTCCTTCCTCTCTTTTCTTAGACATTCACGACACCACGCTTTCCATCCCCCTTCGTGTTTACAGCGAGGTTGGTGTAAGTGTGCGTACTCCTGGTCGGGGACCACTCCCCTGGAGTCACGGGCGCCGAGTGTGAACTTCACGTCACCTGTCGATTTATTTCGAGGATACAGAGGCCGGAGCAGAGCTGCCGAGCAGGCTGTGCACTGGGACTGGGCGACGCGGTGACTCCAAATACGAGGCCCGAGTCTCGTTGGGCAAAGAAAGTTGTGTTGGGCGGAAAGAATGGTTTCTGAGCCTGGAGGCAGGCCGTGGGAATGAAGGCGATTCCAGAGCGGCCAGCTCTGCCCGGCCACGGGCGGCCGAGGGGACCGGCTCCCGGGAAAGCTCTCCCCTTCCTTCTGGCTGCCGAGGACGGCGGCTCCCGGGCGCCTGGCTTCGGCCATCAGGACCTTGGAGTCCGTGCGGAGAGCCAGTGGGCAGGCCAACCGAGCCCTCAGCTAATTCCTTGGAAATCAGTTTTAAAAAATGAAACCCAGGGCATTCCGGGTCTCTATGGATTGGCTGCTTTTTGGGAAAAGCAGAGCCCAGGGCTTTCCGGGTGGGCACAGGAGCCGGTCTTGCGACGCAGTCGGATGGAGAGGAGCCGCTCAGGGAGCATCGGCAGCTTTCACAGCAGCCGTTCCGGGGCGGCCACCACGCGTTCATCGTCACCTCCCTACGAGGCCGCAGCCTGGGAGCCGGAGCCCCAGCCGAGCGCGACTCCGGCGCTCACTGCGGGAACGGGGCTGGCGGCGGCTTCCCTGGGTGGGGGCTGCAGACACGAGCGCCCTCCGGACACTGCAGGGGTCTGTCCCAGTGCCCAGGTGCCACCGCAGGACGCGGAGCCGGAAGAACGGGTGCTTGCAAGTTAAATACCTTCACAAATTAAAAATAAACATACGCTCACAGCTTGAGGCTTGGCACGAACATGTACCGAGGAGCCGGGGGGACTCCTGCGGTCTCGGCTCCGTCCCGGGACCTCCGGCACTCCGCTGCCCAGCGAGGACAGCCGGCCTTTCGGGGGCGTTTGTTTGCGCTGCGACGTCCCCTTCAGAACCCACCTCAGCGAGTCCCACAGGCGGCCTGGCTTTTCATATCCAGTCGCTGTCGGCGCAGGAAGCTGCTCTCTGTGTCTTTTTCAGTATAAAAGCATCGTGAGCTTTCAAGCTCGCTATCAAAATTAAGCATGTTTTGTAAAAGCTTAAAGTAGTCCATTCAGTGCACTTGCTTTCGATAAGTCCGTCTTGATTTTCCATCACAGATAGGATTTCAGCTCGATTGCACTATTTTCCAAACGCTTTGGAAAGAAAACCAAGTACTGCGTCCAAGGCAAAGCTACTTAATGTGTTATTCTGTGATTTAATCCTATTTGGGTCCATATATATAGATATATATATATATCTATATATATACTCCAACCGGGAAATTTTTCTCATTTGAATTGGGGAAAGTGAGCTTTTTCAGGTAATTTCTTTCTTAGCATTTACAAATGTCGATGTTCATGCTGAATGTGTATTGATCAGAATCAATAGAAAAAGCTTGATTGTTCTGAACGTAAATGTCTCAATGATCATAAAAAGCTTTCCATGCGTTCCTTACATACTTGAACGGTGATTTAATAGACAAACATTTGTACAGGTTGCTCTTCACCTTCAAAACACTGTAATTCTGCTTACTCAGCAAAAATGAGTAATTATTTAAAAATATTTTTTCATCATTTTATAAAATATATATGGCATTGTTTTTGGATCTTGCTTGATCTCTCATTTTCCAAGAGATTAACCCTGATGGATTATATAAATTTATGTGACTGTCTTTAATTATAGTTAAAAATTTCTTGTCACATATTTGAGGCAAACCTGAGGATAGATCATTGAATAATTATTTTTTCTCCTGCAAAATATTTCATTTCTCCATTTTCTTTTTTAGTGGTCTTTTGAAGAATCCAATCTGTTGAGAAAATACCAAACATAACACAATTAATTACTTGAATTTAAGTAATAAACACTAATCTCCTTGAATAGAGATTAATTTAATAATATGCTAACGATTCTGGGCATACAAATAATGAACATAACTGAGAGGTGTGTTTTTCCCGTTGACCTATTAAGAAATATTGAATGTCAAGAAATGGCATTTATCAAATTGCTATTTCATTTTAACCTTTCCACTGGCTAAATAGATCATCTCCTAATAAAAACTAGTGCATACAGTCAACTAGCTGAAAGGGTTCTGGGAGAATATTTTGGGACACATACAAACCGCAGTTAGCTGACACTGTCTCTCCTTTGCCAACATCTTTTTTCCAGGGATGTGGCAGAGGAATTTCCTCCTAAAACTACAGGCAAGGGCAGTGCCCGGCACAGACCACCCTGAAGGCGATCAGGAGGACACGCTTTGTCTGTTAGAGGCGTGGAAACCGAGGGCCCGCGGTCTGGTGTCAAGTCTACCCGGACGCCACTAAGCCGGGCCTCGGCCACCACCGTGTGGCACGGCCAGGAATTACAGACGAGCTGGAGGCTTGAGACGGGACAGTTCCGTCTCCCAGACTTTGCTGGACTAAAGCTGTGGACTCTGTGCTGAGCTATATCTTTCTCGTGGCTCTGTTCCTGTTCTCCTCCGGGAGTCACCCCCCTCCCCCCGAAAAACCGCAGGAAGGTGCCCATCGTTAGAGTCAGAAACGATCGGAACCGTGGGCAATCTGATGGGAGGGAAATGTGTTACTTAAGCTGGTTGATTAAAAGAGAATTCTGTTGCTCGGCTGTGAATACGCTTCATAGGGCATATGACTGTCTAACCACTAAGCTCTACACCTGAACCAGCACAAAATAATACTGGGGGTGGGAAGTGAGTATGTATCCGCAACCTGTATTTTTATTTATTTATTATTTGTTATGGTTTTTTAAAAAAATATGTATCTTTATTGATTTCAGAGAGTGGAAGGGAGAGGGATAGAGAGACAGAAACATCAATGATGAGAGTCATTGATCGGCTGCACGCCCCCAACCAGGGATTGAGCCAGCAACCCGGGCATGTGCCCTGACCAGGAATCGAACCCCGATCGCCTGGGTCCTAGGTCGACGCTCAACCGCTGAGCCACGCCCGGCTGGGCGACAATCCGTATTTTTAATATAGTTTAGCTATTTAACTAAATAATTGCTAAACTATAGGGTAAATGCCAATTTGGTGTTTAATTGAAAACGAATTAAATTCAACTTTCTATGGGATTTTATTCTCTATTAAATTTATCTTAAAAGCTATCATCTCAGCTCTGCTTATTTAAAAATGGTGCCGTTAAGAGTCCCATAAAACCTGCATACCTCTGTGTGAGCCACAGATCTGGGTAAGTATAGGGATTTACCCGACAGAAGGCAGATGTTACCCAGTTGTACAAGAGGATTTGAAATAGGAGCCGGTGTACCTGTCAGGTTTCCCTCCCGTCAACTAATTAATAAAATTCTCATCTCCCACCCGGGCACAAAACCATTGCACAGAACGTGGTGTATTTGTTTATACGTTACACACGTATCTGACTTTCAAGACACACAGAGCTAGGTGATTAGAATAAGGCTCAGCTTAACCATGATCCTGTTGCTTCTATATTTTCAGACTGACACAGGAACCCATCCTTTCCTTTCTCTATAGGGGAGAGTTGACCTTCCCCGCTGCCTACAGAAGAAATGTGCCCTCGCTTTAAATTGTCCAGCGTTCCTGACATAATGTAAATGTTCCTTCTCACCCCAACCTCCAGAGGGATCCCCCACGATTTCTAGATCTGTTTGTTTTTTTCTTTTACAAAATCGGGATCAAGCCGTGCCCAGGGTTTGAGATACCCAGTTTTCCTTTCATCAATCTGTCTCTATTTCAGCGTTTCCGCTGCATGTGGTTCGTTGGCCCCCGCTGCCGACGCGGGAGGGGGAGAGGGACCCGCGCTCACCTTCCACAGGGCCAGGATGAGCAGCAGCAGCAGCAGCAGGCCCGCGAACGCGCTCAGCAGGATCACCCACAGCGGCACCCTGCCCGGCAGCCCGTCTTTGGAGACCTGGATCGCGAGCTGGAGATGAGTCAACAGGCTGTTAGCACCGCGGACGCGTAGGGGCCCCGGGCTGCATCCGTGCGGGCCGCGATCGCCGAGCAGGCCGCGCACTGAACCTCGGGCCGCGCACGGGGGAAGGCGCGGGGTTCACGTTTAGAGATGCCCCTCATGTATTCCAGATCCGCGACCGTGTCAAATTCAGCTCGGGGGGAACAGGAACGTGTCCTAACGATCGCATAGGTTTAGCTGGAATCTCCCCGCAGGTTTGTGACATAAAAACCCGAGCAGGTCTTCTTACGTTAACTGTAATTCTAATGCGCTTTCTCTATTTAGTTTTTACAAACTGGGGCATAATTTTCATACATGAAAATGCACACGTCTCAAGTGTACATATAAATAAATTTTTGCAAATACATTCAGCCCGACGTGCTTTTTATCATATCGCACTGTCCCTTCCAGCTGACTTAGACTCTCTGACTTAGGTCTTAAACTGAAGCCAAACTTGGAGGTGGGCAGCTGCTAGTATCCCAGCTACTCAGGCTCTCGGTGTGGTCCCCAACCTCAAGGACGCTTGTCCGCTCTGTGTCCCATACCCCAGGTGCCTGAGAAAAAAATAACTGAGGGTAGATGTCGATGACCTATAATAGCTCGAGCTTCTGAATTTGCCTTTGAGAGGGATCATCTCAAGTCCTTCACCGAGAGGGAAGGTGAAGGGTCCAAAAGGAAACCAACAGGGAGATATTTGCACAGACTGCTGACCGGACGCTCTGGGCAGGTCACCGCCGGGCCTCAGGACACAGAGCGGCAGGAGTGCAGGCCTGTCGGGACAGTCGTGGACCACCACTCAGAGAATTCCCTGACTTACGGAACCGAGGTCTGGATGGACCCGTGGCTTCTCTAAGGTCACACAACTACAAACGATCATTTTGAGTTATTTTAACAATTCGGGTATATCTCCCTTTAGGATAAAATGTAGAATTAATAGGTCTATGGGGAATGTTAAGCGAACATTTGGGGAAACTAAAGCTAATTATAGAAATTTTAACAAGACACATTTAGAAATCAAATGTACTCTTTTCCAATATAATGTATACTCATATATTTTTTAGTTCTTACTGGCGAAAGTTTGGCTACCCTCTGTGCGGAACAAGTTTGCGTTTGTCAGGCTAAGTGCTGTTTATAAAATAGGTAAATATTATATACATATATCCTATGTATTATATGCATATATTCTCTGTATTATACACATATGTTCTACATATTATATACATATATTCTTTGAGAGTGAATATTTATGAGGTCATTGACATTTTAATTATTTAAACAAAGTAATAATATGAAATAAGAAGTTTTAAAACAACATGTGAATGTTAGGTAGATTCCAAATGGAATTTTCTGACATAAGATCCACATGGAACATTCTAAACTTGTCCATGAAATGAGGGGAATTATGCTGATGTACCCGCATCTATGACAAATGCTTCCACTTCATGTTATAACAAGTCCCAAACCGCTTTGTTTATACCAAGGACTTAGCGTGAGTTTGTATTAAGGGCTAAGACTTCATTTTTGTCTCAAATTTCCCAGTGACTCCATGAAGGAAACTTTTGAAAATTTACATGTATCTCTGTGGAGTATAAAGACACTTTCTGTAAGGAAACTGCTTTTCAAATCTGCTCTTCAGGTGTCAGCTGCATTTTACCATCTCGGCTCCTAAGGTGGGAATTACGAATTCGTTATTTGTCGTCAAGGTGAAAGTAAACACAGCCGCTTACTGGGACCCTGAGAGGCTGTGAGGCCAGACATGGCTCGTTAATGGCAAATGTCACGGTTTCCCGTTTCTTACAGAGAAGAAAGAGTGAGACTGAAGTCACCCTGAGGCCCATCGCGTATAATCTGAAGCAAGAGTGTCCCTCGCTTTCGGGGAGCAGGACCAGCACTGCTTAGGGGCTCTGGGCAATCATCGAGCATCGTGCCACCAGATTCAGAGAGAGACGGACAATGTCTCCGGCCTGCGTCCGAGCCGCGCTCACCTGTCGTCTTTGGTTGCTGGGACTCAGCACCAGGGACGTGTTCTCGCTCCGGAGTTCCGCGATCACCGTCAGGTTTAAGCTGGAAAAACGTGTCTGAAAAGCAGACAGGACTCAGCTTCAACACATTATGCTAATGGCAGCGAGAGCTGGTCATGTTCGCGTAGTAGAGTTTTTTGTGGGCAACGTTCTGTAAGCTTGATTTTATTTCCAAATAACAAATTTTTAAGTGAAATTTATGGGGATGACATTAGTTAAGAAGATTACATAGGTTTCAGGTGTCCATTTCTAGAAACATCATCTGTGTATCCCGTTGGGTGCCCATCACCCAAAGTCAAATCTTCTCCTATCACCATATATCTGACCCCCTTAGGCACTGCCTCCCCCTTTTCTGAGAGAGTAAAACCACTGGTTCGGTAACATCCAAATGGAACTGGTGGTATCAAGAGATGACTGTGTCCCCGCCCTGCCTCCCTGCACGCAGATTCTCCCTTGGAGCCTTGTTAGCGAATGGGAAATTTTTCTAAATAATTTCCATTCAGGTTTATCCTTAGGAAAAGCAAACCCCAAGCCCTGCCCACCTTCTGTGTAGCTCGGTACAAAGTAGCTACACTCCTCCGATAACGAGGTGAATATAGGAGTTTGTTTAGGATTAAACATGAAATTGCCAATATTCGACAATCTGTGACTCACAAAAATAGCAACGGAATAGGAACAAATCTAAAAATGGAAATTTCATATAATTAAGTCCTTCTAAGAGAGAAAGAAATACTACAAAAAAATACAGTGGGTTAAGTTCTAAACTAGTTTGTTATCAGCTGGATTTGACTTTATTAGGTGTTAAAAATGCCCCCCTATACGTATACATAGGACATATAAATGTGTTATCTATTTATATGGACACAGCTATAGAGAGTCTGACCTAATACAATGAGCTCGTAATCTGGGTTAGCTCTGCTCTTTGTTAATGGTGCCAAGGATTGTCTCTCTAGGGTTCTTGGTCTGTAAACTGAGCTCGAAAGTATTAAGAAAAGCGCACACTTTGGTATCATACAGGCACTTATCTTGTGCGACACAGACTGGCGGGAAGAACGCGTATGCCTGGGAGGGACTCTGAGGACAGTAACAGGGAAGGGAAATGAGACCGAAGGGCTGGCTGAGCAGCGCTGGGCCTGGACCACCTTTGTTTAGACTCCCAGTCGCGTCTGTCCGCGGCAGCCCCGCTCGCACGCTCTCAGTAACCCACGGGTGTTTGCTGACACCACAGTCTCACGGAACGGCGCGGCCACTCACTTTTACGAACGTCGGCTTCCACAGGATGAGCGACAGGTTGACCCGGCTCGCGTCGGCAGGGAGCAGGCTGCAGGTGATGGTGGCAGGCCGACAGGTGCCGCAGTCCTGTTGGAAGGCCACGGGCGTGTCAGGCATTCGCCCGCGTTTGATAGGCGACAGGGCGGGGAGCCAGCCCGGGGCGGTTGCCTTAGGTCCGCATCGGACTTACTCCCTGGGACAGCGCGGGGCAAGGTCAGCGCAGGCCTCGGCTTTCTGAATTTACCTGAATTGTGCCTCGTTTCAGATCTTCAGACTTGAGTACAATCGTTTTCTTCCCAGAGTTGATGCCAAGAGGATCCTGGAGGCTGGTGGGTCCGCAGTTTGCGTTCTAAGAAATGAAAGTGTTTCTTTAGCCAGAGAAAGCCCCATGTCGGAGGGAAGAGCGATCTGGTGCAAGACCACGAAGGGAGACTCGGCGAATGACAGCCACGGACTTACAGAAAGATCCCGCTGCCCAAGTGTGCGGCGCGGGAGAAGCGGTTTCGCTCCTGCCACGTGCCCCACCCCCAGGCAATGCTCTGGAGCTGTGACAGGCGGTGGTGAGGCTGCTGTGGACAGGGAGCTGGCAGATCTTACCGCTGCACAAGTCGGCGGTTTCCCACCCCTGCGCGGGGCAGGTGCATGGTGCGCCGCGAGCGTGTTTAAAACACGCGGCACCTGACCCTTTAGTGGGGGGCACCGACCTCCTTCCCCTCAGATTGTCAATAAAAAACGAAAACATGGGACATTCGCACCATGGAATACTACGCAGCTGTGAAGAAGAAGAATCTCGTACCCTTTGGGACAGCATGGATGGGCCTGGAGAATATTATGCTAAGTGAAATAAGCCAGGCAGCGAAAGACAAACATCACATGGTCTCACTTATACGTGGAATCTAAAGAACTTAATAAACTGATGAGCAGGAAAAAAAAAAAAAATGACAACGGCCAACACAATAGCCAATGGTGTGAGTGAATCAAAATTCCCCTGACGGGCAAAAAATACATTTTTGGTGTGCTGCAGAATTTTAGTAATTAGTTTAAGTGCCATGAGATGATAAAGGTTGTAAGTCGCTGACATAGAGATACACTTATTTTAAGGGTATTTATTTTGTAAATTGCCACAATACAGAGAGAGAGAAAAAAATTGAAACTTTATTGACAATGAAAGTGAGCATTTGTTATTCAATACGATGGCTCAGATGATGGTTCATGAAACAAAAAAAGAGATTTTCATCTGGATGTGCCCGTTTTTCCAGTAACATTCCTGGAGTCTGTCTACACCAGGGCGAGACCCGTGGTCCACGCAGGAGACGGAAGGAAGTGGCCCTGCAGGTGCTAAAACGCCGCGTTTATCGAGCAGCCGTTCTTAGGTTGTGGCCTAGGTTCCATCTAATGAACCCTTTGCTCGCCCAGGACTCTCCACACCCTTGAGACAGAGAAATCAGGACAGAGAAGGATCCTAAGTAGGAGGAAAAGCGCGACTCTGTTCTTTGTAGATTCTCACAAGCCTGGTGTTTTGGATTAGAGGGAAGCGCCAGAGGTTTATCTTTTCTTTGCCTTTAGAAAAACCATTAGGTATCATAAGCCAACTACCACTGTTGCTATTTCTTGATTTCTGAGAATATTTTAAATTAAAAAACAACACAACAACTCTGAAAAGAAGACTTGTGACTTTCTGTTTTAGAGACTGAACCGTACCCATGAGCTACCATGCAGACCACTCGGGGCTGTAGGGACTGAGCACCTAAGGGTGCTTAGGGGGCTAAGGTGTGATATCGCTGTTGCTGTGAGTGTTGTGCTGTTTTGTGGGCAGCCCCGTACGCTGAGGAGCAGTTAACACGTCTCTCTCTAGAGCCGTCTGAGCACCTCCAACGAATTAAATTAGATTGAATAGTGACCCGAAAAGACATGCCCGAGTCCCAACACCTGGAGCCCGTGAACGTGACCTATTTGGAAACAGGTTCATTGCTGATGGAGTTCAGGGTCTCCAGGTGAGACCATTTTGGATCTAGGGTGGGCCCTACATCCCCTGGTGAGGGTGCTCGTAAGGAGACAAACGGGAAGGTGCAGGGGCTGGGGTTAGGCTGCCCAGGTCAGGGGCGCCGGGTTGGCAGCAGCCAGAGCCTAGGAGGGCGTCACGGAGGGACCCTCCCGCCAAGCCCCCAGAGGGAACCAGCGTCGGGGGCAGCTTGGTTTTAGACTTCAGGCCCCCAGAACTGTGAGCGAGTATGTGTCTGTTGCCTGTAGCCACCCGGTTTGGGGCGATTTCTTACCAGGCAGCTGCAGGGAACTGATACACCTACTAAATGAGGAGTGGAGGTTATTATTATTTAAAATATTTCTAAATGTCTCTCATGTGGCTTTGGTAAAGCTCTTTATCACAGTGGCACACAAAACAAAATGTTTTCAATACAAACTGACGTGGAGGGACCTGGAGAGTATTGTGCTGAGTGAAATAAGCCAGTCACAGGATCTCACTTATATATGGAATCTAATGAACAAAATAAACTGATGAACAAAATAGATCCAGAGACACAGAAGCAGGGAACAGATGGAGGGATCTCAGAGGGAAGGCGGGAGGGGGTGGGAAGATTAACCAAAGAACTTCTATGTTTATATGCATAACCCAGGGACACAGAGAGCAGGGTGGTGAAGGCCTGGGCAGGGGTGGGAGTGGGGTGGAGGGGTCAATGGGGGGAAAAGGAGACGCCTGTTATACTTTCACCAATAAAGATAAATTAAAAATCAACAAACAAACACACACTGAAAAGATAACAACAGTGGCACAATTCGCGGCACCGGGACTTACGTCGGAAGACGACCACCCGCTTGGGTACAGCACAGGGAAACCGTCGGATGTCAGGTTGGGGAAGGAAATGGACAGCTTAAGTTCTGGCATCGGAAAGTGTCCACTCTTACTAATCTACAGGGGAGAAAAAGAAATGTAATCCCTCCTTCCACCTTCAGCAGGGTCCCTCTGTCTCACGCGGGACGTCAGCGCTTCGCTGATGATGAGGTTGGGCGATATTTTGAATCCCCAAAATGCGTGCAGATGGTTTATGACACTGTACAGAGAACTGGCATCATAATTAGGACAAGTAAAGACAGGGATGGTCAGCAATCAGTGCACCAGGCACACCCACAGACTGTTCCTTCATCCCTCCACTCCCCAAATAGGACCAGGACTTAAGAAAAAACAGAATTATTATTTTTTTTTCTTTGTCAGTTTACCATGCTATGAACGATTCCAAAAGAAAGCTGTTGTAATGAAAAACACTACTGAAGAGGTGGTAGTGAGAACGTAAGTTACAGGAGATAACTTCATATAAACCGTGGCAGCGAGCACCCCGAGACACACGTCTATTTGTTGGGTAAAGGAAAATATCACCAGGGCGATTTTAAATAGCCACTTTCTGAAAGTTGGAATTATATTTTTTAAATTGCTTTACTCGGTCATACTAAAAAAATAATGTAAATATTATAGGTAGCATTTATTTGGTTTCAGAGTTTATTTTTTTTCTAGGAAATCATTCTAATTAATTGTGTTTTATTATCAGGAATTAGAGAGTTCAGTCTCTAAAACTGCTCCAAATATAATGATCAATCTGAGTAAGGTTATTATTATTATTTTTTAAAAATATATCTTTATTGATTTGAGAGGAAAGGAGAGGGAGAGAGAGAGATAGAAACATCAATGATGAGAGAGTCATTGATGCAGCCCGCAACCCGGGCATGTGCCCTGACCGGGAATCGAACCCCGATCGCCTGGATCCTAGGTCGACGCTCAACCGCTGAGCCACGCCCGGCTGGGCTGAATAAGGTTATTTTAAAATAGTGACATTATAAGTAAAAATATGCTGATATATAGAATCTGCTGAATCAACCTGTTTCCACATGTTCGCTAATACTCCTGTTAAATTTATAAATTTACAAATAACTCCTCGCAGTACTAATTTAAGGTAATTTCTTACCAAGTAGAAGATATTAATTTCACTTCCAATGTCTTCGGTGGAGTTAATGACTTCGGGGACCGTCTCGTTGGCCGTGATGGAAACGTGGTACTCGCTGGCAGAGCTTGGAAGGGCCGAAGGAAAGACAAATGAAACGCCATGAGGTTTAGCTTTGCTTTGGACTCACACTTTCTCTCTCTTCAGACCAGGTAACCCCCCAAAAACAGTTACAGAGGTTTCAAGTCAGAGGCAAATCCTTTTACCCCAAAGCCTAAAATTAAATCTTTGAGGAGGCTGAGGAAGGTTACACATAATTTAGTTCAACAGTCACTGATATTTCAATGGCTTTAAAATGCTAAATGCCATAGAGCTTTTCAAATGAAAACCACATCGTTAGCAAGTGAAAGGTTTCCGTGAATTCACTAATATCACCTACATTTAGTGAACAGCCAGATTAAAACTTAGCATTTTTAGTAATGCTGAATTTTAAATAGATTTTAAAAAATTATTACCTTTTCACTGTTTAAAGTTCTACATTTACTGCTAAACTTAAACATTCAATCTTTTCCACACAACTTCTTCATGGTCTCTGGATGAACTCAGTAAAATAAAATAGAATACAGACAGCTAAGAAATATTTATAAGTATTTGCCAAAATTTGATTTTAAATAAATGAAAAATTCTTGGGAATAGGGTCAGTGCCCCAAGAGAAGTTGATATAGCAAAATAGGAAATAGCTAATAAAGTTTAAAGGCTAAGAAATATAAGCAAAATCTACCCTAGAATATACCCTAGAATCCTCTCATTTTTTGTGGTCTGTTACCACTAAAAGGAAAATGCCATAGAAAATAAATGACTAAAGTGATAAGAAATTTAAACTAAACTTGACATAATTATTTTTTTTAAAAAAAGAATAGCTCATTGGTTTCTAGAGGGAGAGACAGGAAGAAGAGAGGGCGGCCTCTGTGAGAGTGTGACACCGATCGGGCGGCTGCCTCCTGCACGCTCCCTGGTGGGGATCAAGCCCCAACCCGGGCATGTGCCCCGACCGGGAATCGAACCAGGACGATGCCAACCGGCGGAGCCACACGGCCAGGGCTACACTGATTCTCACACTTTTTGCATTGCACAGCTAAACAAATATGTACAAGGAATGCAAAAAGTATACAGATGACAGCCAAGAACATGCCGGCGACCTCTGGGAACACTGCCTTTTGGGAAGGGCTCTGGGTCTTCGCTTGCACTTGGATCTGAGACTGGACTCTGGTGCATCTCTGATCACTGGTCCCGCATGTTTTAGATGATTTAATATGCTGGCTCTCAGGCTTCAGGGTGCGTGAGAACTACCTGGGGGGTTCTGGGCCCCACCCTCAGAGTTTCTGAGTCCGTAGTCTGCGGTGGGGCCTGAGAATTTGCCTCTCTAATAAGTCACTGAGGAGCTCTGATGCCCTCGGCCAGGGACCTGCGACCACACTCCCAACCCCCGGTCAGCAGGAACACATAAAGGCAGTGTGCTCCTACCTGGAGAACTGGACTCCGGCTTCGTATTTCACCGGGATGGAAATGCCGACCTCATTGTCGGAAAGGGTTTCCAGAGGTTCCTCACTGTCGCTGGAAAATGCAGAGCAGAGTCAGGCAAATCAGCCAACGCCAGGCTACTGAGAGGTGCTTCCGAGCATTGGGGAGGGAAGCTTAAGTTGGTAACGAAATAAAAGCACAAAGGAGTTCAATTCTTGTTTTTTCAATGGGGCGAGGAGGGAGGTCAGAGATGGGCCTGGTTAAATGCTCTTATGCTTAGAAGAAAGTTAAGCCACCGTTTCCATTTCCTTATAACCTCTTGCTGCTTTAGTCTATGTGTCCTGTGCTACCTTTCAGAAGCTTTGACTGATCTGGATAAAATTTGCTGACCTACTGAACGATATCATAAAACTAAATCTGCCTAATGATTCAGTCGACCTTGACGGGCAGCCGGTAAAAGTCTTTAGATTAGCAGAGCCTGTAACTGTCAAATGAATTTAAATGCAGTTGGGCAGATATAAGTGATGTGTGGTTACAACATGTTCTGCAGAGCAAATGGTTTAATCCAGTTAGAGGGTTAAATTGTTTCTGTCAAATAAAAATGTCTTTATTTCGCTAATTACACACACACAGGCACACGTAGAACCAACCTTGTTGTGTTTAAATGAATGGTCACGTTTTCCATGAGATACGATGTGTTAAATTGAAATAATATTTTGAAAGTTACCTACGAAATAAAAATATGCATCTTTAGTTTAGGGCCAGATAAAGAAAACACTCTGATTAGAATATTCAGTTACGTAAATGATATTGTCTAAACTCAAATCATGAAGTTATTTAAGAAATACTATCTTACAAAGTAAAAACTCAGCACATCTCAAAAACAGAAAGATATGATGTTCACCTACTTTTCAACGTGAAACTTGATATGCTTGCATATTAACATTGAATTTAATCACTTTATTCAAATTATATTAATACAAATAATTTATACTAACCATAAACGATTACCATGAAGGTACAGCCTATCTGTTTTATTATATTACCATAGTCTACAAGATCACCATCATAACAACATCATTACGAAATGATCATAATTAAAGTCTCCTTAATACAAATCTTCAAAGATCAGCAACCATCTATACATATTTACTGTAAAATAGAGGGAAAGGTACTTGGTTCCATTAATAGTGCAAAAAGTTTTGGACTTTAAGGGAAAGGAACAACAAAGTAAAACAAAATAGAAGACTCGGCTGTTTAGAATAAAGGAGACTTAAAAAGTCGTGAGTTCTGCTGACAAAAGTTTGCTTAGTTGAAATAATACCTCAGAAAAACTGGAAAATGTTTCTGTTATCCTGACACTCTGGGACAGGTGGCTTACTTCTATACTGCTGATAGCTGAAGATTCACATTAAGGAGACTTTAATTATGATCATTTCGTAATTATGTTGTTTATGATGGTGACGTTGTAGAAGGAAGTTAGGCCTGAGCGTGCACGTGATGCACGATTCCTCACAAACACCCCAACGCTGACCAAGAGCTAGACTTTTTTGAAGAGGAGTCGACAGCAGAGTTCCCCAAAATGTCGCGCACGGTCGCCACGTAACCCGGCGATTCCGGCCCTCGGCTCACACCCACCAGCACTGAAAACACACGTCCACCCCAGAACCTGCGCGCACCCACTCCTCGCGTACTGTTCACAGTGGGCAAAGGTGGAACCAGCCTCCGTGCCCGTCAGCGGGTGAGTGAAGGAACAAGAGGGGACAGGTTCGCACGACCAATGCGCTTGGAAATGCAAAGGAATGAGCTGCTGGTCCACGGCGCCGAGCGAGGGGGGCCAGTCCCAAAGGACCGCACGTGGTGCGACTTAATTTANTGCAAAGGAATGAGCTGCTGGTCCACGGCGCTGAGCGAGGGGGGCCAGTCCCAAAGGACCGCACGTGGTGCGACTTAATTTACCCAGAAGGTCAGGGCGGGCGAACCCGGGACAGGGAAAATGGCTTAGCGGTTGCCCGGGGCTCGGGGAGGGGCTCTGAAGAGGGCAATANAAGGTCAGGGCGGGCGAACCCGGGACAGGGAAAGTGGCTTAGCGGTTGCCCGGGGCTCGGGGAGGGGCTCTGAAGAGGGCAATACCCAGCCGGAACCGTGTCCAGGGTTTTCTGGGATGTGAAAATGTTCTAAGATGGGTTGTGGGGGTGGCACAATTCACAATTTGGTGGACAACAAGCCCGTTGAACTGTCCTTGTTAAAGGGGCGAATTGCAGGGTGTGTGAGCTACACCCACTGAGGCTCCTAGTAAAGGGGGAGAAGTGCCGCCGGGTTCCCACTCGAGGTTCCACAGCGGCCCGTCTGGAAGGCTCTTCCCCCCGGGCCAGAGGCCTGCTGCACGGGCCTCCAACGCGGGAATTTTCCTGCCCGGCTCTCAGGTGAGTCACCCCCAGGTGTGTCATTTTGTCCAGGTGCTCGAGTTTGACTCTCGCAATGGCTGGCCTGAGCCTCGGGGCTCAGCGCGGAGACGCGGCCTGCACGGGGCACCCGAAGGCCCCGGGGGATGAGTTATTTGGCCGCAAGNCGGGGCACCCGAAGGCCCCGGGGGATGATTTATTTGGCCGCGAGCCCCTCATTCCTCACACCCCGCGCCCGCGTGTCCTGTGCGACCTGCCTACCATTTCGCCTCTCCTCAGGAATGGGTAGCCAACCTTGCACGTGATGTGGTCGTTGGATTCACAGCTGTCTTTCTGGATCGCCTGGGAAGAGAAGGGAGACGGTTACAGGGGCCCGGCCGCCAACCTACTTAGAGCAGAACTGATGAGAACAGGGCAAGGGGAGCCTGGCACGTAGTGACCCAAGAAGTCCTTGACCTGGGTCTTCTAGAATTTTCCTGGTTGTGCCTTGCGCTCGGTCTTGTTAAGATTTGTCTTTTAATTCAGTCGGGAAAGTCACAGCGTTTTGGGATCATCTGGCCCACGGCCCACGGGAATCTGTAAACAGCACTTATATTAAGCGGCCTGAAGGACGGACACATCGCCCTGTTCTGTCCAGATCTCCCTTCCCCTGGGAATGGGAGACGCCCCAGCACCCACCCCAGGGGTGGGGGGCTGGGTGAGT